ATATATATATATATATATATATATATATATATATATATATATATATATGTATGTATTTATATACATATATATATATATATATATATGTCTTTATATATATATATATATGTCTTTATATATATATATATATATATATATATATATATATATATATATATATATATATATATATATATATATATATATATATATATATATATATATATTTATATATATATTTATATATATATATATATATAATTTAGATTTATTAATTTATTTTGTAATTACCTATAATTATACTTAATAAGGTTTCATCACCTATTGAACTAATTAGGACCTTAGAAATAAATATTAATGTTGGAGCAGGTAACTTATATAGTTTTATTCATTTATTTTGTGCTCTAGGAATAAGGGAGATTCCATGTGAAAACATCCAATTTTTTTTGAAAATGCAACCATAAGTCTCAGATTTTGCTGACTTTTAAACCACTTAAAGATTTTAGTAAAATATGAACATCCTGAAAATTTTATCGTCTAATTTCAATCGGTTCCTAAGATATAGCTATTTTAAGTTTGCCTCCAACCAACAAAAATCCGCCATTTTTAAAAATGGTTTTGGTCCTAGTTTCTGTTATATGTGTGTTGGAAAGCTGAAAATTTGTACCTTTACATATTTTGGGCCAACGAATCCAATGAAACAACTTAAAATATTTAAAAACAAGCATAACACCTAAAATTTGAACGTTTACCACAATTTTACTAGGGCGAGTCCGATCACAAAAATGCCGATGTAGCTAAATTTTTTTTTTTTTTTAGAAGTTGTTCTGAATAGTTAAGCTATAGTTACTACAAAGAATTGGAGAGTGGTCTTTTCTAAAACAGAAATAAAAATATGGTCAAATCTACTTAAATTTATAGCTTAAAAAACAGGTATTATGACAAATTAAACAAGAAAAAAAATGTGGTAATTTGACAGTTTTGCAACTGAAACAGTTTAGGCTACATCAAACTGTTCTTTTAGTTGTTGTTGACTAGCTGTTTCTGTTTTCTTTGTAATTTTTTAGAATCTGATCTTGAAAAAGTTTAGTTTCAAGGGGGAGAATTATATAAATGCAGATGTATATTGCAAATTTAGTTTTTTTTTCAGAAGTTGTATTAAATAGTTTAGTTGGAGTTATTACAAAGAATCAGATTGTGGTCTTAAATCAGAAATAAAAACATCTTCAAATATACTTAAATTTATTACTTATAAAACATTAGTTTCATATTTATCAAACTTCATTTAATAAACTTAAAAAACAAAGACTCCAAAACAAATAGAGCACTCGGAAAGAAGTTCAAGAAACAAAAGTAATATACAAAATTTAAAAATTAAAAACTCAAAAAAAAAAAAATTATCAGTTATTGTGTTATAATCATTCACATCAATGTTATATGTTCGCCCTGATTTTGTTGTTGGGACTTTGATTACTGCAATCAAACTCGACAATGGTACCCAACAGATATCATCTCTCTGTGGCCAAATAAAGTTTTGAGAAGGGCCGCGAGGGTGCATAAACTTAATTTGAATATCATTTAGAATAATATCTATCTCTGTAACCATGCCTATCCACCAAAAGGAATCGTACTTGCATGCAACAAAATCATTTAGATTTGGTACAACAACAACATCAGACATTACTGCTTTTGACAGTATAAATCTGTCAACACATTGATGTTCGCTCGTTCTTTTAAAACTAATTTCAAATTTTGAAATAGGTATGTAATGATGATAACTTCTGGTACCTGGAACAGTTTTTCCTGTTTCAAATCGCTCCTTTAGTTGCTGTCTCCTTGCATTAACTGTTTCTTTGGAAATTATATAAAATATGATTGTGTTTATATTGGTGATGCAAAATTCAAGCATATCATCAACTGTTAATATTTGGTTTTCCAATGCCCTTTGCAAACTTGCTCTTGCTGTTATTCTTTTAACGATACCACCTATGCCATCACAAGTGGACTTTTCATTTTTTGCAAAAAATACCCATTCAGCTGTAATCTCAAAATCTTTCTTATGGTGGCATAGATTTATAAAGTTTTTATAGTTTTTATATTGAGTAGAACATCCATCAGAAAAATAATAAATTTTATTGATACCAACTAAATATTCCTTAATGTACTCTACAATTTTCTTTTAAAATTTATACAAAAAGCATGTATCATGATCATTGTCATCACTTAAAAAACAGAATGACTTATGCTGAATATTTGTTTTAGAAAATTCCTTAAAATATATAACAACAGGATGAAGTGTACATTGTTGTTTATTCTAATGATAACTTTGTATTTCATCCTGTATAACAAATTGATAGTTCTCTGCAAAATCTGCCTGTATAATACATTCATTGTAACCTAAATTATTTTTTAATTCTTTCAAATAGCGAGTTTGGCATTTAGCAATATATGAATGTGAAGTTAGATGATTAATGTGAGAAACAACTAGTTCTTTATATTCAAATAATTTAACTGATTGAGTAATTAATTGTGATCTATCAGTACTTTGCCATTGGTTGAACTGAATTTCTTTTTCTTCATCAATCTCAATTAATTCCTCATCTAAAAATGCCTTTAAGTTATCATAACCTGGACATTTGGCACATCTATGAACCATGCATTCATTATTGCTTGTATCACATACTAATTTTGACATTAAATCTTTGTATGTAACATTCCATTGGACAGCATTTAAAAGCAATATTGAGTTTTGATGATAAATACAAACACATACACAGTGTATACCATTTGGTCCCACACTAATACACCATTTTGGACGCAAACTACAAAACTTTGAAAATCCTATTTTATAATTAGGGTATTTACTTTTAAAATCAATATAAAGCTCATGAAGGTTGCACAATAATAATCTTTTTTGTTGTGGAGGACCACTTTTAACTTTAACACAATCTTTTTTACCAGGCATAATTCTAGAATGTTCATCGTTTTGAAAAAAATCTTGAACCAAAGCTGTAAGAAAGTCAGGTATTTTTTGGCCTATTTTCTTATCAGGTATAGCAAGAATTCCATTTTCACTTTTAAGTTTCCTAGAACGTCGTATAAGATGTTCAGAAACTTCAAAATATTCTGAAGCGTATTTTCTAGACCAAGATTCAGGTGTAAGTGTTAATATTTGAACTTTTTTTTAAAATGGTTCAACTTTAAGTTTTTCTTTCATTAAAGTTGTTAAATGATCAAGATCATTTGCTTTTTTTTTATCCATAGATTGAGTGGAAAAAGTTAAGGCTGCACTTAAGTTATTTATATTTACTCCATAAGCACTTGCTACACCTTCTTCCATTTTTGTGTAGGCTTTGACTAATTTCCTTTTTGCTGTTACAACTTGTTGATGCTTTGCGACACCATGAACTTTAATTGGTGAGACTCCAATTGATATTAAAGAGTTGTCTAACTGTTGTTTATTACAAGATTTATCTTTAACAAATAATACATCGCCATCAATTTCACTATCCATTTCATTATCAGAAACTTCATTGCGATTTGACAAAAACTGAATACATGAGCGACAAAATTTCCATCCTGGTTTACAGTCTAGATTTTTGGATTTAAGGTTATGAGCCATGTTTGACCTAAAATAAAATCATTAATTTTAAATAAACATACCCTGCTTCTAAATTTATATATATATATATATATATATATATATATATATATATATATATATATATATATATATATATATATATATATATTATATTATAATATATTATAATATATTATAATATATTATATTATAATATATTAATTTATATAATATATATATATATATATATATATATATATATATATATATATTATATTATAATATATTAATTTATATAATATATATATATTATATTATAATATATTAATTTATATAATACATATATATAAGTTAATATATAATAAATATATATATATGCGGTAGTTGTGTAGTGATAGACCGCTCGGTTCATAAGCGAGAGGTTCCGAGTTTGATCCCCACCACGTCCCTGGTAGTACCGCACTCAACTTGTTTCTCCGTACAGCTGCCTTATTTGTCAAGGTTCGTGTTTCGGAGTTATAGAGTCAAGAGAGGGTTATAACCATAAATAAGTAGCCTCCTTGCCTGTAGTGGCCTGCTCGGCCTTGAGGAGGTGAATTATCAAAAAATATGTATATTACCTTTAACCTTCTTTTTGTGTCTTTTTAAAACATCGCAACACTTATCATTCTTTAGTAGAAATATCGGTCCAAAAACCTGCTCATGATGATAACAAATAGACTTTATCTCTTCGTATGATGTAGTCTCAAGCAAACCAGACCTCCAAATATAAGTATCTTGAAAGTCCTTTTCTAGATTACAAAAATCTTTTAATCCTTGTTTTCGAACAAAACATATTTTGTGACATTCATCTTTTAAAACTTTTCCAAACCCACAAGATTCCATTTTATCATTATACTATTATTATTTCTGAAAAAGATGCAAGAAAAATCTATGATTCATTCAATGTGTTCATGGGGTCAAGGTTGTTTAGAACTAGAAATTTAAACTTAATTAGTAAGCATTCTAACTTTAATTTTACAACCTTAGAAACATTTCTAAACCATAAAACTACTAAAAAAATAGAAAGAGCGATTCAACAACATCTAAAAGAACATTTCGATATAGCCAAAACTGTTTCAGCTTCAGAACTGTCAAATTATCACATCTTTTTGTATAGTTTAATTTATCAAAATACCTGTTTTTTAAGCAATAAATTTAAGTAGATTTGACCATATTTTTATTTCTGTTTTAGAAAAGACCACTCTCCAATTATTTGTAGTAACTATAGTTTAACTATTCAGAACAACTTCTAAAAAAAAAAAAAAAAAAAAAAAAAATTTAGCTACATCGGCATTTTTGTGATCGGACTCGCCCCAGTAAAATTGTGGTAAAAGTTCAAATTTTAGGTGTTATGCTTGTTTTTAAATATTTTAAGTTGTTTCATTGGATTCGTTAGCCCAAAATATGTAAAGGTACAAATTTTCAGCTTTCCAACACACATATAACAGAAACTAGGACCAAAACCATTTTTAAAAATGGCAGATTTTTGTTGGTTGGAGGCAAACTTAAAATAGCTATATCTTAGGAACCGATTGAAATTAGACGATAAAATTTTCAGGATGTCCATAATTTACTAAAATCTTTAAGTGGTTTAAAAATCAGCAAAATCTGAGACTTAGGGTTGCATGCCCTGGATGTTTTCACATGGAATCTCCCATAATTGAGCTTGCTAAAATCTTGAATGATGAGACCAAGGAAACAAGTAAGTAAATTACATACATATATATATATATATATATATATATATATATATATATATATATATATATATATATATATATATATATATATATATATATACACACTTACTAAATCGTGTTTTGATAAGCATTTGCTCTCTGACTTATTTAATTATCTTTACTCTAAAACTAATTTTTAAATTAAAATTAGGTGTCTCTGATAATGCTGTTGTGCTTATCGATGACCACTATCAACATTATAAAACAGGTAAACTATTTGAAAACTCTTTTTCCTAACGATTGACTATTGTTATAGTTATCACATTTTTTAGATAAAAGTGGAATGCCAGATTTATGTTCTGCATACTATGAGGATGATTCTATCAATAATATTGAATCAGCACTTGAAAATGTGACAAAAAATGATTACGCTCCATTCATAGTAATATTACAGTCAAGTGGATATGGAAAAACCCGATCTTTATTGGAATTGGCTAATAAAAGAAAATTAGTTTATTTATTGTGCCAGGATATTCCTGGAGGGTTTAAAACCCCAGACATTATTCAAGCTTTTTTAAAGCGTTGTGACCAATGTAACTCGCAGCAAGGAGTCGAAAGAGTTTGCAGTAAACTTTTTGAAGCTATTGACATTGTCACATCCCAATATAAAACAGCGGTGCTTCTGAAGCAAGCACAAATTTCAAAAGAAGGTAAGTTTGGTGAGTTTTATGACAATATATTTAAAGTATGGCAAAAATTACATACACCACTAACCTCACCAGTAAAAACAGATAAAATGTCTGATAATTCACAAGATCCTTTAGTTATAGTGTTTGATGAGGCAAACATTCTTTTTTCAAGAAACGGAGATGTTCTGGAATCTCCTTATAGATGTCTCCGTCGTGTGTTGTCCGCATGTAAAAATAAACTTGGTGTATTTGCTGATACATCGTCGGAACTTGCCCGATTTTTGCCACCTGGCGCACCGTCGGATCGTCAATGTGGCCTTGGAAAATTTCTTTCTCCAGTTATGGATATTTGCACCGTTGATGTGATTCCTGTTACGTCAGATATGTCTTATTTTGTTAGTTTGTTCACTAGAGGTCGTCCCCTTTGGGCTATGCAGTTGCGTTATCGTGAAGATAATGATCTGACGCGACTAATCCATTTTGCTTATTACAAACTATCTGGTGTTGCTATTGGTAAAATAATACCAGAGATTAGTGGCAAAATAGCACTCTTTGGCTGTCGATTTGGTTTAGGAGAAACTACTAAATTAGCATCCAAGTTAGTTTCACAAAACTTAGCTACTATAGTTGGTATCGATTATGATCGCACACAAGTTTACTCCAAATATTTGTCGGAGCCTATTCTTGCAGAGGCATCTGCTTATTGCACATCAAAACATCCTTTTATTCTTTTAGATACATTAGATGCTGTCTGCAGTTCCCTAGATAGTCAAATTATAAGTCCGGCAAAAGGGGACCGAGGCGAAATGGCTGCAGCCGCTGCGTTAGCATTTGTAGCTGATAGCTTACGTTTTAAATGTGTTTTGAATAATTATAATGCTTCTGAAACGAATATGTCAAAAAATATACCTGCAAAAGATTTTTTAAAAGCAGTCTGTCCACACCTGACAAGCTGTGAGCCACTTGAAAATTTTTGTGTCAATTTTACACATTTTTATAGATTACCTATTACCCCTGATGGAAATATATTGCCTCATCTATGGAACAGACACGTTGCCGCATATTTACCGGCTGGAGAAGAAGGCATTGATATGCTTATCGTAATGAAGTCAGATAAAATGTTTTCAACTATACGAATACAAATAAAAAACCTAAAAGAAAAAATATCAGAACAATGCTGTAAAAATTTTTTATTGAAACTTGCACCGATGCGCTGTGCGCCAAAAATTCCTGAAAATTTTTCCGTTGCGTTATTATTAGCTGTAGGTGCTGGAAAAATAGAGCCATCTTGTAAACACTCGCCATGCTTTAAATCGAAAAGATCACTAGATGGCCAACAAGCAACTCAACTTTGGCTAGCATCATCTCTTATATATTTGGACATTGATAAGTCTGTGAAAGAAAGACTTGCAGCTCTTGCTGGAAAACCTCTTTCCTCCAGGATAATGGTTGGTTTAAAGTTAAGAGAGGGAAACTTTGCGGCGTTATTTGAAAATATGTAAAATTTATAAATAAAAGTTCTATAAAGGTTTTAAAATTTAAGCTAAGTTATTTAGTGGTTTTAAAGTGTTGTCAAAATATTAGTTTGCATTAAGAATAAACAAACAAACAAAAAAATGTAATATAAGTTCTATTTAAACAACACGAATTTAATATATAATTTTAAAATATATAATTTTCTTTTTATTTATATAATGTGGCGCATTGTTTAAACCAACTTTTTCCTAATTAGCATACTTTATTGTGACAACAAGCTTTGTTGTTTTTCTTGATCTATTCAGCTATTTATCTTTGCAAATTGCAACATGTAAAAAAAATGTACTTTCTCTCATTGATAAATCCCTTAATAGAAACCGTAGAAAGAAAACAAAAAAAATTAACAAATTGTGATACTAAATAAAGGGACTTCCATAAAGTACGAACTTAGTAAAACCAACAATTTTGGATCCCCCACTATCTTTTTTGTACACACTTTTATGCTTTCTACAATTTTTTTTCATCTTCCTTTGCATTTTGTCTGGTGAATTATACAAAGAAGGAAGGGGTGATTTTCAATATAGATCAAATAAACGGGGATTAACAATTTTAAAAAATGGTTGCATGTTTACACAAATTCTTTTACACTAATAAACATTTTCATTCTTGTGTAGCTTGCGCTCGAATGCATTTTGAAACAGCTGTTTTAATATAAAATAATAGGATGTAATATACTTACATAAGTGTTTTACTATGGTGAGAAATAAACAAAAACCTAAACTTTGACAAATTGAATTTAAGAAGATTTTTCTAAAGATCGACTACTTCTAAAGCCTAATTACGCTGAAAATTTTTATTCTTATCAGTGCACAGTGGGACAGAGTGTATTAAAGTATCAATTTTAGCATTGCACAGTGAAAATTTGTCATAATGGTAAAGACATGTTTATTAGTGGAAATATCTAGTTAAAGAAACGTTAAACATTAATTTAAGCGTTATTTTATGCGGTTATTCACACGTGAGTTTGACATGAGTTCCAAAACGCTATTTTGCATTTTTTATTTATCAACTTACTAAGGCTACTATTGTTTTAAATTAACTTTATTGACTTTCATTTTAAAATATTTTATTTTAGTTAACAATGTTTTTTTCGCTCAGACTTTTAAAAACAATTTAACGTAAGTCTAATTATTAGTTTAATTATTAAGTCTTATTACTAGTTTTTATGCATCAAAAAACAGGCAGTTTTCAATATTTTTTCTGCTACTAATCTTTACTATTAGGTATCAGATAAACCAAATAAAATCTCCAAGATCCTTCACACTTTTGATTAACTAAATCTCACGCTAAATAAATGTAAATAACTATGCATCATAAATATTTTGCAGCATTTTGCAATAAAAAAGTTATAACAAAACGTTGATCTTCATTTGATGGTCAGTTGATAAGAAATACTAAACATGTAAAAAAGATACCTTCAAAATCTTTTATTTTTTTTAAGTTTTATAAGTTTTGTAAATGTTAATCTAATAAAGTTATTTAATGACAAATACTTGTATTTAAAAGTAATATTTCTGATGTTTACACTAATAAAAGTTGTCTTGTCTATTAAAAATATTTCGTATTTTTCACCAAAACTAAATTTTTTATTATAATTATTTAATTACATGTTTACTACTTTATTTATGCATTTTATATATAAATATAGCTATTTTAATAAAATAAAAAAAACTACGAAAATAATTTTGGCACAAAAAACTCGATTTTGTCCCACTGTGCTTCCCATTTATTACGAAATCCCCCCACCCCCTTCATTTTTTTTTTGGCAGACAAGATTAGTGCATTTAATAATCAAGCCATTGCAGTGCACATGATGTCTTTACTTGAAAAAATACAGCTGTTTGCTTGACAAAATACAGCTGCTTTTATCTTTCTTGGACATATTTTAATCCCACTAAAGATAGTTTTGTTTGTATTAAACTTCAGAGAAAGTTACAAGCAGAAAAATTTAAGTAAATCAAAATTCAACAAGATTTTTTCAGCTGTGCCCCACTCTCTCCTACACGTATAAAAGAATAACACATGTAAAATTGCATTTTTATATAACATTTTATAATGAAATCAACTTTGACAAACCAGAAGGTCGTTACCGGTTTTAGTAAAGTATTTGCCGAAATACCAGTTTTGGTTTCGGCACCGAATTAGAATACCCGAAATTTTGGTTTCGGCTGTTTTGGTTGATCACAATTGTACAGTGATAAAATTTGTACCTTTTGATCCACAAAGACCACTACAAGTATAATATATACTTTTAAAGGTATCATTTTTAAAACGAAATATTTAAGAAGAGCGCATTTGCTTAGCCATGTTTCCGAATTCTAACAGCTTTTAAAGATTAAACTCACCAGAAGAAAACATAGCAGCCCGATTTGGATTGCGCTTATACACATCTGTATAAAGGCTATGAACATAAACAATTCTCCAAAAATCAATTATTGAAAAAAAAGAAATAATATCATCGACATCTTTTAACTCTGGGTGACATTTTAAAGCACAAACTGTATCTTTGCAAAATACTTTCAGACAAACTGAAATTTTTTGCTTTTCAATTGGTTTTAGGAACACAACAACATCCGTAAGTTTAGAAAATTTAATCATTTGATTTGGTTATAATTTATGCAATGCTACAATATTTTTCTTTATTAACAAAAAATTCAAGTTCCTGTGACTTTTCAGTGATCCAATTATTGAGAATATTTTTTAAATGGTACACAAAATCATACTGAAATTGAATTTATTATCTTTTGTTTGTGCGCCATCTATCTCAAATTTCTTGAAAAAGGCTTGTTTTACCTTATTACCATTACAAACTGTACAAGTAACATGGTCACCTGCTGCTTTTATGGCAGATAAAAGAAAGATAGTTCATTCAAAAAGAAAATTTGAATCGATTTCACGCACAGGAAGCATTTTACATAAAGAAATTTGGGTCCATCAAACAAAGAAATAACCATAAACTTAAAACAGTATTTGCAAGAACATTTGAATTGTTAACTGCTTTTCCAAAAATTATTCCCCCATGGTACTGCAACATAATCCTTATATAATCTTTATCTAATAGGAGAATGCAGTTTTTATGATAAAAACTACATTCTTCTATAAGATAAAAAAAGTTTTGTCACGTGACATTTTATCACGGAAAAAAATACTTATCTTGTTTTTGAAAAACTTTGTCCAAAAAAGGTTAGCAGACTTTAACATACCTTAAAAGTAGGTCATGTTTACCGGTTACCGTTTATAATTTCATCTATATATTTTAGGTAAGTACATGATTCCATAGCGCAAAGTTAGGTCCCGTAAAATGTTCCGCAATTGTCCCGCTTCACGTCCAGGACAGAGTTAACATAATTAATTTTTGCAATTATAATTTAATTTATGAAATAATTAATATTCTTTACGTTTTCACCTGGTTATCGTCGAATATTAAATTTAAATTGGTAAAAAAAATATTATTAGATATAATAATAATTTAAATTTATTAGAAAAAACAACATTGAGTAGAGGTAATACAAGACATTTTAACTTTGGCGGACTTGTAAACGACGCACCCCTATGAAATACTAATAATCATGACCTAAGCTGTTCTAATTCTTACAGTCAATTAATGAAGTTATATTTCGTTGTGTCAATCTCTTATGGTTAATCAAAGCATTGAAATTTAATTCTATTTATTAATTATGATTAACTGATGTAATTACACTTTATTTAATTTAAATAATTAATTTTACTTGGTCAGTAAAATATCATTTTCGATAAAACATGTTTTAAACTTAGGGGAGTGCGCTGTTTACAAGTCCGCCTTCACTTTTTTTAACAAAATATTTTAAATTTTGAATATAAAAAGCTTATGTTGATGTTTGTTTTACTACTCGTTTAAAAACATTTCTCAGGAATGACATTCCTGAGAAATTTAAAAACATTCCGAATGTTTTTAAACGAGTAATATAATATAAGCTTTTTATATTCATAATTTAAAGTATTTTGTCTTAAAAGGAATTTCCTCTACAAGCACGTTTTATATGAAGTATAAATTTCCACGTTTGTATGTTTGTTACTGTTTATAATTTTTTAGTTGTTATTTCTCAAGAAGAAAGTTGGGTTACTGTAGAAACATACGATGAATTACTTTTTTTGATACATGGCTACGAAACAGAGACTGTATTAAAGTTTTCATGCTATAGTGCTGCTAAAAACTATGAAAATATGGGTATGACAGTTTTAATTAAGTGTTTTCAAAATGCAATGGCTAAATTTTAATTTTCTTTTATATTTGTATAGCTATTATTAAAAATTTTTGTTTTTGTTGTTATTTTTAAAGATTCTTCTGCAAAACACCACAAAATAAGATGATTAAATATCATTTAATGGTACTCCCTTTATGGTTTTAAGATGTAAAGTGCTTGATTGTATGCACGGGAATGATAGAAAAGCCACTTCTAAAGAAGTTTATAAAATTCGTTTATTATTATAATATGATTTTCTTTATCAATTTGTTTCTAAAATAGCTCCTGTATTAAATGATTGTATGTCTAAACCTTTTATTTTTGTTCTTTTGTCTAATTTTCTTAATAGGTATCAGATCACAGTTTTTTAAAAAGCTATTTGCTGTATTTAAATTTCTTGGTCGCCAAGAAATTTAACTGTAGTTTTCAAATAAAAATTTAGAAAACTTAAAAGTTCTCAAGTTTTAAGGTTTTATTTCTTTGTTTGTTTAATTTATATTATTTAAATGAAATTTAAGTCAGTCCTATATTAACTATTCAAGACATACATGCATCAACTTAAAATATAACCAATTAATTTATGATAATTCTTTTTAAAAGAAACTTTGTTTTAGATTGCTGCTGATACTAAATTTAGAAGAGTGTAATTCTCAAACTGTATTAAAGATGCTTTGTCAAGAAATAAAGTAGTAAGGAAAAGAGTGTTTTAAGTTTGCTTTCCTTCAAAAAGTTCTCATACTGGTCATTTTACTAGAGATATAAGATTTATTTTTTCTTTTTTGTGTAGGGCATTTCCAAAAAATCACGCACGGAAACTCGTATATGTTTTTACTTTTATTTTCATAAAAATAAAACTAGAGATCTCCAATTTACTCTCATTAATTCTAATTAATATAAATATTTTGTAAAAAAAATAGTAAGCATTAGTAATGTTAACAAAGAATAAATAAAGTTTGAAATGGAATCACGCGCGGAACAGAAAAACTTCTATTTTAGTTACTAGATAAATAAACTTTAATTCCTCGGAAAATAAAATTTTCACCTGTATACTATTTTTTAAAAAATATTTTAAATATTAGTAAAGATTTCCAGAAAGTTTCAGTATTGCACTATGAGTCATAGAGTCACAGCAATCGTTTAAATGCAGTTTATGAATGATCACGCACGGAAGTCACGCACAGATGTTGCGAATTTGTCAATTTCATGTAGCTATTTTCAGGAAAATAAATTGCTTGTGAGTATTTCAAATAAAATATTATACTTGTACGACTCATATTTAATATATTTTCGATGAGAAATAGCAGTCATTAATTATTTCTAGCTAGAGTATGGCGTTTTGAAAATTATTGTATATTTTTCAAAATGTTGCGATGCTATTGCTCAAAAAAATAAAATTATAAAAATGTGTATATTTAATTTATTCAGATAGCCTAAAGTATGATAAAAATATTTTTGTTATAATTGTTCTTTAAGAAAATTAAAATAGAATGCATATTTCATTAAGCCCTAGCTTTTAATTGCTAAAACAAAGAAAAATAAAAAATCACGCACAGAAATGGAAATGCCTTGTAGATAAAGTTAAACAATAGATTTTAAAAGAAAAAAAAACATTCTTGTGTTCAGTATATTTAGTATATCGTATTAAGTATCTTCATCCAGATTACTTAAGGCCTTAAATTTAAATGCCTGCTCTTACTGATGGTTTGTTATATACTCGGTATGTTCTTGTACTATTTCTAATATATGTAATATTGTTCATACAAAATTCAATATTTTCACTAGGGGCGGGTTTTGTCACTCACCAAGGAGGTGGTTAAAATGTTTTTTTTTAAAATAAAAGTGGCTTTCTTTTTTAACTTTTTGTACTTTGGTGTAATAATCAAGTTCATATATGTATAATTACCTATAATAGTCAATCCCAATGAGGGGAAGCATTTACCCTTATGCCCCCCCCCCCTAAAACTCGCCACTGATTTTCACAGTCTGCTGAAGCTATTAAGTGTATTAATGAAGAGAACTGATCTATCAACCATTTTTATAAGCAATCATTAAATTATCTCATTGGAAGTAGGAAGAAGGAAGCTTGTACTATTGTATAATAAAATGATATCTGTTTCTGTAGCATTATATATATTAAAGTGTATTTATTTTAGATCAAATTGCATGATTTCACATTTATCCTTATTAAAACTGATTAGCCTTTTTTTTTTGTGATTAATTTATTTTTTTTGTAATAAAACTATTTTCTAAATTTTCAAAATATTTTCAAAAGTTTCAAATACTTCTTGGAATATGCATCTTAAATATGGAATTCATATTTTAATAAAGATATAAATTTTATCAAAAAAGTCCAACAAAAAGCCGCAAAAATTGGCTACAAACGAATGGGAGCAAATTACGAGCAAAGATTAAAAGAAATGGGCTTACAAAATCAATCAAATCGAAGAGAAAACAGCGATATCATTAAAATGTTTGAACTTATAAACAACCATGATATTATTAATTAGAATTGCGTTCCACTTAGGAAGTAGGCTTACAGAGGCCACAATCAAAGGTCAATAAGACATTTTGTTAAAAACTTTTTGTTGAGACCAATTTTTTTACAAACCATATACAGTGGGTTGCCAAAATATTAGGGACACTTCACTTTTTAAGTAATTTTAAAGTTTAAATGATTTTTTCAAGCAAATAAATAATATAATACTAATATAACTACAGTTGTTTTTAAACTGTGGCAATTTGTGATAATCCGATCTGTCAAAAAGTTAGGTTATTACTCAATTAGCTATCAATTTTTGAAAAGTGTGGTTGAAAGTCAAAAAATCAAAATTGATTTCAGTTATTTATTTTTGGAACAATTTTTTGCAAGTTTTTTGAGTTCAAAACTATTGAAACCTAAATATTCGTTAATAATTCAATTAGTTAAGTTATTAATTTAGTATTTTTGCATAAATCCTGACATACAACTATTCTTACATCTCGTTAAATTTTTTAGTCTCCAGACTTAACCCCAAAAAAAAGCAGAAAGTAAAAACCTTACTTCTTCATTCTACACATTCTCAGAGAGAGATTGCAAGCGTTTCAAAGTCAGTAGTGAGTCGGAAAAAAAAAAAAGATACAAATGTGACTCTAGAACCAGACCATGTCAGCAAAAGTGGCAGAAAAGGATCAATACTCCATGTTATGACCGTAAATTTAAAGACATCTGTCTTAAAAACAGAAAAAAAAGTTTGGCTCGACAAGATATAATTATAAACAATGAAGGAATTAACGTCTCCACACGGTTCAGGGACAGTTCGTTGAAGAGAATTTAGCGTGTTATCGTCCAACCAAAAAAAGAAAGTTTAACTGACAGTGGGTAGCATTTGTCAATCGAAAGTTATGGAAGCCCAGTAAAGAATTCGGCTATTTGTGCTGAACATATTGAAGAAAATATTTAAAAATTGGCAAAAGACTAACATTAGTTTGGGATTTAAATCCCGTTCCAACTATTTATTGCTCAAATGAAAAAATACCACCACCAGTATATCAATATACTGAATTCTAAATGTATATTTCCTGCTTTTTATTTTGATCAGTTTCATGTTGTTATTCATGTACATGCTAATGAAATATCATGGAAGTTACTTCATGATGTGTATGATAAAGACCAATTACTTTAGTCAAATTTAAAAAAAGGTTTCAAATTATTTTATAAATCACTTCCTCCAAGAGATAATAAACAAAGTGTACCACTTGCTCTTGCAATATTTGATCCTTCAACTTCTGCATCTATTGAAAGTTATTTTCAAGATAGGACTGATGCCTCAAGCTTTTTAAAGTTGATAAATATAATGTAGACAATAAGTAACAGAAAGCAAATATATAACAACAATTTTTGTATTGGAAATGCAGCTGTTATGGGTGACATGAAACCTTTATTTTTGAGGAAAGCCAAATGGATTGAGAATTAACAATTATCTCAAGTTTCAAACTCTCAAAAGTTTATATTAGGTAAACAAACATCAGAAGCGTGAAGGACCACTTTAAGATGCACAGCTTCACTTATTGATGATTTAATTCAAAAAGGGTATTATTGTTTTTTAGTATCACGCTTGCAAACTGATACATTAAAACTAAGATTTTAAAAGTATCGTCAAATGAGTGGTGGCAGATTTTTAATTGGTTTGCGTGAGACATCTGAGTGCATATAAGCTTTGAAAACTTTACTTAAAGAGTCAGTCAATATCTGGGAGATAGATGTTAGAAAAAAGAGTTGTAATATATCTTTACTTAACTTATTTAATGATAAATTGCAAGAAATAAAATTTTACCAGATTTGAAAAACGCAGTTAAGATTCAGAAAGCTTTGAAGTTGCTCTAGTTATTTCTGGTTATGTTGTTAAAAAGAACAGTGTATAGGATTTTAAATGCAGACAAAGAAAATAATTAAAGCTGAATTAGTTAAGTTAATAATCAAGTAAACTTAGCTGAATTGAAGTAGCTAATGCTAAATTATACAGCTGGGCATTTCCATTTCTGTGCGTGGTTTTTTTATTTTTCTTTGTTTTAGCAATTAAAAGCTGGAACTTTATGCAACATGCATACTATTTTGATTTTCTTAAAAAACAATTATAACAAAAATATTTTTATCATATTTTAGGCTACCTGAACAAATTAAATATACACATTTTTACAATTTTATTATTTTGAGTAATAATATCGCTACATTTTGAAAAATATACAATAACTTCCAAAACGCCATATTCTAGCAAGAAACAATTGATGACTGCGGTTTCTCATCAAAAATATATTAAATATGAGTCGCAGAAGTATAACATTTTACTTAAAATACTCACAAACAATTTATTTTCATAAAAATAACTACATGAAATTGACAAATTTGTAACATCCGTGCGTGACTTCCGTGCGTGATCATTTATAAACTGCATTTAAACGATTGCTGTGACTCTATGATTTATAGTACAATCCTGTAACTTTCTGGAAATCTTTACTAATGTTT